GGATAAAGTGCAAGTGACTGTTGTTGTATTCCTGCTGTACATTTAAGTACACTATATGGCTAAAAGTTTCCAGGGTCCTGATCATTACACTTATATGAGCTTGTTGGTAACCCCATTCCAAAACCATGGGTATTAATATGGAGTTGCTGGTCCCCACCACCACCTTTGCAGCTATAACAGTACCCACGCTCCTGGGAAGGTAAAGACCTTTATTCAAGATGTTGGGAGTGTGCCTGTGGGAATTTGTGCCCATTCAGCCAGAAGAGCATTTGTGAGGTCAGGTACTGATGTTGGGTGAGAAGATCAGGCTCACAGTCACCATTCCAATTAATAGCAAAGCTGTTTAGTAGGCTTGAGGGTCAGGGATCTGTGGAGGCCACGAGTTCCCCCACACCACACTCATCAAACCATGTCTTTATGGAGCTGGCTTTGTGAACTTTCATGGTGGAACAGAAAAGAGTCTTCCTCAAACTGACACACAAAGTTGGATGCACACCATTGCCTAAAACGTCTTTGTATGCTGCGGCATTAACAGTCCCCTTTACTGGAAACTCCTAAAAACTCAACTTGCAGGGGTTGTCCACATGCTTTTGTCCATGTTGTGTACCAATATTTTTTTTTAACTTCTAATTAGTGTGCACAGGAGGATTGAGCTGATCTTTTTTTTTTTATAAACTTTCTTTTTGTGCTAGGCGTGTACTATGACCCTAAATGCCGTGTACGGAAGATTAACCATGCAGTACTGGCAGCTGGATACGGTACAGAAAATGGAGCTGCCTACTGGCTGGTTAAAAACAGGTAATAGGTTTCAGGGATAAAAGAGGAAAACATTCAAATGAGGACTCCAGAAGTAGTATTTGTGGCAATGATGACCTCATATAGGCACTAGATTCCATATGATCCTTTAGCCATTGTAGGAAAGATATATACAAGTAGATTCAGCAACTCCAACTATTACCTTTCATCAGACATGACTATCCCGCCTACCCTACTCTCTGAAATACAGCAAAGGTAAGAGCAGTCCTAAAATACTGTAGATACTTTGACCCATGTGGAAATGTTTTTTAGGTCAGTCATGCAACTGCGTAGGCATTTGGTCACATGATGTCTGCTAAGGGGTGAATCAGAGTTTAGAATGGTGGTGCATGACTACAATATTTAAATGGGAGCTCCACTTTAAAAGTAGTATTCTGCTAGAGTTCTGTAGAGAATTACACACGTCATTACACACATCATTTTTTTGCCACTGAATGGAACCGAGAACGCAGGAATTTCCGATGTTCCTTGGCTTCATCTAGTGGTGGGAATGCCTAGCAAACAGCATTCGCACAGAGTGTAGCTGGGCAGAAGATTTATCAAGTGGCTCCTAACTGTGTGACAAAATTCTGCACTTAACTTGTAGGGTTGCACCGATACCGATACTAGTATCAGTGCCGATACCTAGTATTTGGGCGACCCCAATGCTTCAATACCTTCCCGATATCGGAACTTCTGGAACGGACCGGCAGTGCCTTAGGGGAACATAGAGCCGGCTTCTCAATCAATCAGATTGGCCGGGAAGCCAGCTCCATGCTGACTGGCTGGGAAGCTGGCTTCCTGGCCAATCAGCATCGAGCTGGCCGAACAGCCGGCTCGATGTCGATTGGCTGGGAATACGGCTTTCAAGCCGATCAGCATGGAGCCGTCTTCCTAGACAATCAGGAAGCCGGGTCAGTACTCCATGCTGAGCGCCATTTTTGCATGCAAGAAAAATAAGCATTGTAGGCAACGATGAGTTACAGCCGCCCAAATCACCCCCTAGAAAGTCAACAGTCGGCTTAGGAAATTTAAAGAAACTCACAGATAGTTGCTAAGCCTAACCTTTGCTCTTAGCATGTACCTATTAAAAGTAGAACCATGACCTCCCATTAAAAACAAATATGTGCTGTTCCTCTTAAGTATAAGTGCATCTGCATTTACAGTTCCGCTGCAAAGTCCCACAAATACCCATTGATCCTGCCAGTAAAGTCTACCTGTTGATGCTACCCTGCACATTGTCGACCTCTGCTTCTACCCAACCATTCACTGGTCTCCCCCTAGGGCACTATCTCCACGTTGTAGACTCCTAGTTCCCCATTCATACCCCGATAGGGCGATCCTGAGGACCGTGACCTGATATCAGCATGCAGTGAAACCCATCTCCACCATCAGGAGCTCTGGTGAAAACTGTGTTGGTGCTTAGACTCCACATCTCGGGTAAGCCATCATCTGCACCTGGGGTGAGCCATAAACAGTAGATTTTTTTTTTGTCCTCAGACCTATTGGTGCTAGCTCCAAGCTTGCTGCCCTGAAATGAACCCTATATACCCAACATAGTCATCTTCAGGATGTAAAAGCATATGTTTCCTTAGCTAAAAACCTGATAAGACATCTGAAATCTGTAGTTCTGCAAACACAGCCAGAGTTTTAAAAAGGTTTGCATAAGTGAGGGTTAGAAAGTAACTGTGTGCATGAGCATTAACACTTCTGTAATATTATAATATACTGTGATGGTTATTATTTTTGTTGCTGCAACGCAGTGGTCCGTAGTAGTGTACGGACTATGCTAACAGATCTCCTGCTGCCTGTGCTTCATTTACAAACATTTGGTTGAATAGTCACAGATAAACACTGCAGATCGCCAGTGGCCCCATCTTCTGTAGTTATGCCCCTAGCACCAGGTCTGTTGTTTAAACACCAGAAGAAAAATGTGGCCCCTGGAAAAAAAAAAAGCTGCAGGATTAAAGTACACATACCTGCAGCAGCTTCCATTGCACCCTCTACATCTGAATGGCAAGATGTGCTGAACTGGCAAATCCCTGCACTTAAGCTTAGAACATCCCCCCACCCTTTCCCCTAACACACACATTCCTATTGGCCAGTGAGAAAGTCCATCATGATAATAGGACAATAGAAATGTATGTGAGGAATCTGTACCCACCAGACGTTCTGCCCAATCAAGACGACCCTGAGTTCAGGTATTTGGGCAAGTTGTTTTTTTTAAAGTAAAAGTGTCAACGCATTTCGCATAAAAAAAACACAAAAAAAAAAGAATGAATAACTTTCATGAACAAGTAAAAATTCTCATAAAATTATATTATTTCATATAGTATACACATAAAACACTTTACACAAAAAGGAAAGCTTTGAAGAAACCAGAGAGGACAAAGGAAAGCCAAGAGTAAATGTGTTTGTCCTGTTTAAAAGTGTGCAACGTAATACAAGATGGATAATCCGTGTCTATCTTGTCTACCGTCAAACATGATACATGTCACAGATCATTAAAAGTGAAGCTTGCGCTGGCCAGGGGCTGAAAGGTCTCCCTGATTACGTTACGTGACTATTGGCCTGTGAGGAGTTCTGACAGAAAACAGGTCTATGATCCGGTCTATCAAAGCAACAACACAACTGTCCTAATGTCGCGCTACGGTTGGTACGGTCAACTATGCTTGGATCCCTTTCACGTAACTATCTATGGTTTTCCTATTTTACAACAGGATTTTAACCTCAGCCTGTGCATGCATCCAAGTTAAAAGATAAAAAAATCCTACGTTCCGTCCATTTCATATAACGCTTAGTTGAACTAACACTGTGTAGAGGTGATTGATTCCGAGAAGTGCTTAAAAAGGTGGAGATTGTAATATTTCTACAATAAAAACAAAAGGCAGCCAGCTTAAAGCCCTGCTGAAATGACAGGAATAGATATATGTGGTCACTTAGGGGCTGATGTATAAATGTAAAGGATGGACACCGTTTGCCTGATGAAGGGGATCCTGTGAGACCCCGAAACGTTGTATAGAGTGTTTTACTTGCAACTAGTACCTTAATAAACACGTACTGAACTTGCTTTGGAGTGCTGGTGTCCATCCTTTACTTATATTTTGTCAGAAGCCACCCGCTGACCCCCACCCTCCATTTTTGGAGCAGCGGCTCTGAGTGCTATGGGTGCACACGGACTGTATCCTGATGTATAATTGTGATGCACAGCGTATAGCTGGGCGAATGCCATTTGCATGGCATTCCAACCACCAGAGGGATCCGAGGTGCTCAGGAAGTTCCTATGCACCTCGGCTCCGTCTAGGACAGGGAATGGCATGTAAACAGCATTCGCCTGGCTGTACGCTAAGCAGAACGTTTCAGCCCTATAGGCTTTGTACTTACAACATCTGTTTACCTAGTCCTACCTTCACTTTCACATTACAGAAGTTGAGAAGAGGGTATAAGAATGCTTATCCTTCCCATTAGTCACCTGAGTTAGACCCATTGTTCCCTGTAATGTAACATATCTGGTTAGACGCTTCTGGTTCCTCCCTGATGGTTTATGCGCGCCACAGGATGACACCCCCCACCAGTTGGGAGTTTCAGGGTCAGCCAAATCACCCATAGTTCCAGAATGTTGATGGGAAAATGAGCTTCCTCTACCATTCCCTGCAGCGACAGGGTGCCCAAGTCAGCTAACGATCTCTCAGCATTAACCCCTTCTGTGGTAAACCAAAGGAAAGCATAAGTCACCTGAGTTAGACCCGCTATTCCCTGTAATGTAACTTATCTGGTCAGACACAAGTCTGTGTGTGCACACTTATGCTGAGGGGTGTGCCTGTTACTCAGCTCTTCCAGCACAGAGCACTGCAGTGCGAGGGCTGGAAAAAAGCTCATTTAAAGCGTCTCCTAGCAAACGTCAGTCACAAACCAAAACATACAGAGGTTCGGGACTATAAAGTGACAAAAAAGGTGAAATTTCAACCGGGCTTTAAGGTTTCCTAAACCAGACTCTCAAAGACAGTTCAGATAGCGTAGCACGACGGTTGCTTGCAAAAACGCAGAAGAGATTTTGAAGAAGTAACTGAAATACATCACAACAACCCGTTTCGGGGTATTTCTATAAAACGATGTGAAATAAGATGTTTTAACCTGCATCTTAAATCAGGATTTTTTTGGCATCTTTCTACAGGCCCAGGAAATGTTAGAGTCCATTTTTTTTTTCCAGACACTTTTGTTTTTAGCTAAGGTGCAAGACAATGATATAGCCACTTGTAGGCCAAAGCGTTAAATTAATTATCGAATAAGCAGAACGGGGCGGACATTCGATGTCTCGCCCCATATAGTCATTTTAGCCCACCATGGGTAGAGAATGCCTCAGGTAGTAGTAAAGATATTTATATTTAGGTTTTTTCTCCATTTCCTGTCCTGACATTTTTCGTTTAAAAAAGGCACAGACTACAACTGTGATTATCCTATGCAAAATGTATCCCTGATCGATCCTAAAATGATAGATTTTTAGGGTCACAGCACTAGAAAAAAAATGAAATGTGTTCAGGCTGACAAGTATTGAGGTGTGCTTCGTGTTCCTGGGAAGAAGGTGAAGTATAAACTGGTGGCACAACATGAGATTTAAAGCTGGTGAGGGCCGGAGAGCTTCATGTTGACGTCTCCTGAGTTCACAAGGAAGGCAGTTTTGTGATGTCCTGTGCGTCTTCCTCCCAAGCTCTGGATTTGAGGTCCTTCTCGATTTTCCACTCTTCTTACCATAAATGGTAATCAATTCCTAAACGCTCGCTGAGGTTGAGAAATGAGTGGCCTTCACCAAGGACGGGAGGAAGTTCAGTCTATAGGCATCTGGGTTTCAATTTTGTGTGCTAGAAACAACAAATTTTCTACTCCACAAAGGACTGGAACATGTTGAGCTCGGAAAACTCTTCGCCGTTGTAGCTCGAGGTCTGGTCTCCCAGGATGGAGAGCATGTCCTGCGTAAAAAAAAAAAAAAAAACTAAAAATGGGGAAAACGGAACAAATGTCCTCTAA